TAAAACAGGCCTAGAAATGTTTTATGAGTTGACACACCCAGGTCTGGAGGTGGCTGATGAGGGAGAGGAGGGTCCAGCCGGGTCCAGCGCCTGATGCACAGATTCGCAGAAGGCAGAGAGGAGAGAAGAGCAGTGGAAATCTATGGGCCGGTCCTTGGGACGGAAGAGCCACCACTGTTAGCGAAGCCCCACCGTAGCTCTGGGGATCAAAGGCAGGGGGCGGAGATGAATAGGGGTGGCAGACAACTATTCACCTCCCTGACGGACGGGCTTGTTAGCATGCAGTGGAAAACTTTTTTGCCGGGGCCGCCGGCACTCCCAATTTAAGGAATCTTTTGAGTTGACGTCAGAGGGTTTGTCGTGTTTGGGGAGCTGGGTCAGAAAAACAGGGCTCTGCAGCATCAACTGGGGGGGTCCAGAGGCGTACCTAGCCCTCCCTTCACCTTTACAATGAATTTACAGGTAAGTCCTCATGACCACAATTGAGCCCAACATTTCGATCGCTAAGTGAATCCTTTGAGGTTTTTAACGCCTCATTTTTTTGACTTTTCTTGCCACCGTCGTTCAGTGAATCACTGCAGTGGTTAAGTCAGCCAACACGGTCGTTCATTGAATCGGGCTTCCCCATTGACTTTGCTCGTCCGAGGGTCACCAAAAGGGGACTACGTAACCCTGGGACACTGCAACCGTCATCAATATGAGTCGGTGGCCAAGGGCCTGAATTTTGATCACAGCCGTCACTGTGAAAAATGGTCCTCGGTCACTTTTTTCAGTGCCGTTGTAATTTCAAACGGTCATTAAATGAATCATTGCAAGTTGAGGACTACCTGTCATTTCCTTCAATGCGGTTAATTAATCCATCATCCTTGACTATTTCTAAATAGTTCGGAAGTTGTGGGAGCTTCCTCCCTGGAAGCCTCCAAGGAGAGACTGGACTGCCATTGGTCAGAAATGGTGGAGAGTCTCCTGCTTGGGTTGAGGGTTGGACTGAATGACCTCCAAGGTCCCTTCCAACTCTGTAAATCTAATCTAATCTAAATGTTGAACTTTTAAATCCTTTTTATCTATTTTTAATGTTTGCCAACACGCCACTCAGGAGTCCCTCTCGGAGGGAGTTGGGCTGTTCCCAAATCCATAAAAATAAAAAGCACACGGGACAAAATCCAGACCCTGGGCAGCCAGCACTTAACGGCGGTCGGAGCATCCCGTGACCGCCATTCCTAACCTTCCTTCAGGCTTTCCGACATGCAGAGTCAATGGGCGAAGTTGGGTTTGTTTTATGACCGTGGGGGGAAAAAAAGGTCATAAAAATCAGGCCCGATTCACTTAGCGATGGGGGTTCCAATTCCCCTTGTGGCCGTTGAGCCCTAGCTGTGCTACTTAACGTATACTCAGTTCTTACCAACAGAAGCTTCCAGGGGTCTCTCACTGGCTCTGCCCCTTTCCTAGGTGGGACTGGCCATCTGTTACGACCTCCGTTTTCCGGAAATGGCGCTGACTCTGGCCCAGGCGGGAGCCGAGATTCTCACCTACCCGTCGGCCTTCACCGTCACAACTGGCGCCGCCCACTGGGAGGTAAGTCCTTCGGCCTTTACTATAGGTTGTCCTCGACTTACAACAGTTTGCTGTCAGGATTCTGGCCCTTACCCCCATTGAAATCCTGAGTCTTGAGCCGAACTTCCAAAACTTCCAAAGGATTTATTGGGAGTTAACATGTCCGGCACTGTCTGGGTGGAGCCGACTCTGAGACACGTCATTCACTGTCACCCTTGACCCTGGTTTTCCCCCCACCCCTCTGGGTGTATCGTAATTCATATCCTCCAATGGGACACCTTCATAGCCCAGAGTCCTCAGTCAGGCTCTCCAGTTAGAATTTTGCAAGGCAGAAACTTTGGTCACCTAGAAAGTATCTTTGAAAACATTTGTGGAATGCACTTTCGGTTTCCAAGATGCTGCACTGCTTCCCTCTCCCTTCATGTTGGCAACTCTAAAAAGACCAGAGGAATATTTGATGACTAGACATTTGCTTAGCGACTGCTTGAAATTACAACAGCCCTGAAAAAAGTGACTTGGGGCCGTTTTCTTCACACTTACAACCATTGCGGCATTCCCCAGGGGTCACGTGATCAAAAGCTCAGACACTTGGCAAGCGACTTTAGGACGGTCGTGGGTCACGTGACCCTTTTTCGCGACCTTCTGACAGTGCCAATGGGGAGGCCTTAACGATTGTGTTCCTAAGTTTAGTTTACTTAATAACGGTGGCAAGAAATGGGTCATAAAATGGGGCAAACGGTCATTTAAGGAATGTCTCCCTTAGCGACAGAAATTTGGGGCTCAGTTATGGTCGTACGTCTCTTTCTTTTTATATCAGTAGAAGTTGCCACCAGAAATTGTGGGCCGGAAGTTTTTAAGAAGACTCTAGACAGCCACTTATCTGAAATGGTGTAGGGTCTCCTGCTTGGGCATGGGGTTGGACTAGATGACCTACAAGGTCCCTCCCAACTCTTGTTCATCTAATCTAAAAACCTCCCAGGCCCCTTTCCAGCTGATTCTCTCTGTTCCCCTCCCCAGGTCCTCCTGCGAGCCCGTGCCGTGGAAACCCAGTCCTACGTGGTGGCTGCGGCCCAGACGGGCCAGCACCACCCGTGCCGCAGCTCCTTCGGCCACAGCATGGTGGTGGACCCCTGGGGCAGCATCGTGGCCCAGTGCCAGGAAGGGCCCGGCTTGTGCTTCGCCGAAATCGACCTACCTTACCTGCACCGCCTCCGCCAGGAGATGCCCGTCTTTGCCCACCGCCGGCCTGGCTTCTACAGCCGGGCGGCTGCTGAATGGGGCTTTGGGCTCCCGTGACGGGCTCAGCTGCCCCC